AATCATAACAACTTTTTAGGCTTTCCAATCGTTTAGCTGATACCGAAAAATGTGAGTAAATTTTCAAAACTAAATTTTCGACATCAAAATTTAATTTATTTATCGCAAATTTTATTGTATTATTTAAAACATGACAGTTACAATTTGCTTTTATTATGTAATTGTTTCGGTCAATAAAGTTTTTATAAACTGATTGGTGTTTACCATAATTTACTGAAGCATTATCAGCAGTAAATGCTTTCATTTGATTTAATTGTAATTTATTTTTTGACATACATTCGGTTATTCTATTGTATATAGCATTTGAAGTTTCATTACTATCTTCATAGAAATCGAGTATAAAATTTTGTATACCATTTTCAATGCAAAAATATTGAATAACAATAGGAAAATATTTAATATTTCCTTTATTTGATGCATCACTTACCACACAAAATGGTTTATTTATAACAACATTTAAATGCTTATCAATTGATAGTTGACATAAAATGTTAGCCGCTATGCCCTCCATTTTTGTCCGACCACATTGAAGTTGTTTAACAATATTAGAGTCATTTATTACAGTTTTTATTAGTTTAACATCGCAATCACTTGAACGATAACTTAAATTGTGTGATATTGAATGATAGGTAAAACATAGATCACAAATTGCTAATGATTTTTCATCCGTAGAAACTTTGGTTACAAATTTATTTAATGATTGACACATATTTACCGATTGGGCACTAGTTTTATGTCGATTTGATGTCAAGTGTGTCTTAATTGCAGATATACCTTCATATTTGATAGTAAATGAGTTTTTACAATAACCACAAAATGCGGTTAAATCATCACTTTTTTGTAACCAGTTTTTGTATTCACTAATTTTCAACCAATTTTCTTGAAATGAATTTAAACCTCTTTTAGATTTTGATGCCATAATTTGATGATAATTAATAACAAATCACACACTTGTAAATAAAGTTTGTTTCATAAAACGTGTTTTTACTAAAAATGTATTTTATGAATATTAAAAAATATTTATTACCTAAATATTACTTATTCTCTAGTATTTGTCAACAAATTTTAATATTGAACTTTATTTTATTTGAACATACAGTATATCACAAGTAATATTGTATAGCATTACAGTTTTATAGTTTATCAAACCTGTATACTACATTATACAGGTTAACCCCTTTCCTGTCGCCTGTATGTAACCCTTGTTTCCTGTATGATACAGGTGGCACCTGTATGGGTGGTCAGTCTAGTTGTATGTGTTTTGTGTTTATCAGTGTTGTCTTAAATGTGGAAAAATCACTATACCTACCAGTGCTCTCTAAACCGATTCATATATATATATGTATAAATACAGTATATATATACGGTATATATATTGTAAAAGAGATTCATAGGCTATCACTCATTCACTTTTTCTTATACTGCACATGACTTGCCAAACAATTTAGTTATATTTTTATATATAATTTATATATATATTGTATTTTTGATGTTATTTTTGATGTTTTTTGTTTGTTTGGTTAGTTTAGTTAAATTTATTTTGATTATTCAATTTTTTTTAATGTTATTAGTTTTATTATTTGATAAATATATTACACACACACACACACACACACACAAATACAAAAACAATTGTATTTTATTGTTGAAAACAATGCTTATAAAATTAAATTTACAATAAACTAAAAAAACTACTATAGTTTTTGACAAATTATTTTGAATATGATTGTTATTTATTGATATTAAAGTTATAGATTTTTATGTGTGTGTGTGTAAAATTAAATTATAATTTTTTTTTGTAAATAATATTTATTTTTGAATTTTAGACATAAAATTTTTGTTGTTTGTTTGTTATATTAAATACAGAATAAGTGTAATATTTAAAATTTAATAAAATATGATTTTTTTATTTTATTATTCATGATAAATATAGATTTAGAATTATTATTGTATAAATTGTTTTAAATATATTTAGTAATATTTTTTGATGTATTTATTAAATTAATTTTTTGTTTATAATAATTTTTGACTTTCATTAATTAAAAAGATAATAATTTATAATAGACTTTCTAATAATATTAAAATATATTTATTATAATTAATAAAATGATAAATAAATTTTTAAAAATTAAAAATTAACATTTATAATAGTAAAATATTAAATCACTAACAAAGTTATAATTTATTATTAATTGTCTACATCTGTATATTTTAATTCATTAATTTGCAATTTAAATGAAAAACATTTTTTTAATTATTAATTTTACTTTAATTTATTTAAATAATAAAATGTTTAACATAATAGTTAATTGAATTTATTTGTGCTAAACATTAATTAAGTTATTATTATTATTATTTATGAATTTTTAAAAATAATTTTTAGTATAATTTGCATTTCAATTAATAATTTTTATATTAATTTAAATAATTTTTATTTTTCAATTACAATAGTAATGACTATTTTTAAAAAACAAATTAAATATAATACAAAATTTCTAAACAATTTATTATAATTTTTTTAAAATAACTTATGTTATAATAATTTATTATAATATGTCTAAATGTCATTTAAAATAGATCTTATTTTATATACAGATATTTATTTTATTAAATACAATATACTTAATACTATAATATAATATATATATATATATATTCATCAAAACATTAATACCTTTATAACTGTATACCGCATTGCATACAAAATTAATACCATATTTTTTTAAATGATAGCATAAAATATTATAATATAATAATATATATATAATATTTACAATATTTTTGTTGAATCTGCACGTAATACTGAGTTAATGCCACACACAATATATATGTATATATTTTATTATATATATATTATATATTGTATAATAAGATAGTTTTTGAAAACCCGAAATAAAATAAAATTTAATATATTATTATATTATTTATTACTGGTGTGTATCTATAGTTATTTTTTTGTGTCTGTATTAAATTATGAAAATCATTTTCAGTAAATGCTATTTTATGTATATATATATATATATATATATATATATATATATATATATATATATATATATATATATTACCTAACATACATAAGTAATGTCGTTATTATTATACATAAAGTAACATTATTTTTGGATGGCACAAAGCATTGAAAAAAATTATTTTCATTTAAAAGTTTAAAAATAGATAGTTAAATTTTAATTATGTTGTTTTAAATTATTATTTTTCTTTATCAATAATAAATTATAAACAATTGTTTACGAGATATCAGATCAATATTTGAAAATGAAACTTTTTTATTCAATAAAATCATTGATATCGCCCGCTGAAAATTGCAATGATGCTTATCATGAAGCTATTGTATAGTAAAATTTTTAAAAATTGATTAAAATTTTCAAAAGTGCTAATTATTACTTAGAATACAAGTTATATTCAAAGGTCTTAAAACAAAATTCTGACATATTTAATTTTTAAAATCCAAAACTACTTAGTCAACCTAATATTAATAATTTTATGTTATTTTAATACACTAAAATAAATGTCATTCTATTTGCCGTTTAAAAATAATACTAGTTTTTGTACTTTTGAAACGACATTACTTATGTATGTTAGGTAATATTTATTTATATAATTTACAATAGATATATTATAAAATTTATTTATTTGTATGTCTAATATGACATGCAATTGTATGTGAAAAAAATACAAAAATTTATAACACAATGATTTTTATTTTCAACAACAAACTGTATGTAAATCATAGATGAAATATCGTTTAATGAAATCGTATGTAAATTATTGTTTTTTTATATATATATATATGTACTGTTTAAACAGTACCTTATATTCTGGATATATATATACTGTATATATAGTATGTTATATTAAATAGCTTTACGATAGGCAAACACATAAAAATTATAAAACCATTTAGCTATTGATTTTATGATTAGATACTCATTAAACATAATATCGTTTAATGACATAAACTAAATGTATTGTTAAAATAATATATATATTTTTCTATGTGTGGTCAATAGTATCTAAGTTAATGTATTRTGTGTGTGTGTGWGGGTGAGTGGGTGTGGTATTTGTATTGTATAAKTTTACAAGTATTATAATTATAGCAATTATTATTATTATGTTTTTAAGTACTATATAATGTTATCAATTTTCTATTATTAGTTTTATAATTAATTTTTACAAATGTTAAAATAAAGATAGTATTTAGCATATTATATATATATATATAGAGTGTATATTAAATTACAAGTATACTCAATAATAATTACAATTAATTATAATTATATAAATGATAAACAATTATCTAATAAAATAAGATTAATATTAATTACACTACAAAAATAGTATTTATAAATAACATCAACTAGTTAAATTAAATAACAATTTTTTAATATTAAATTTGATAAATTGTTTTTATTTATAAAAACAATATGACAATAACTAGTTAACTAAATAAGGATAATAATAACTTTAATTTAATTACAAATTTGTTACTACACTTTACAATTTATATATCAATTATATGATACATTAAAATTTGTTTGTGTGTGTGTGTGTGTGTGTGTGTGTGTGTATTATTATATTATAAAAAAATTAAGTTTAAAAAATAATAATATATTATACAAAAAAAAAATAAGTTCATAAATAAATCTAAACCTAAATTCATAACCATGATAATAGTAATTATAATTGATTTAATTGAGAAAATAAATAAACATAATATTATTTAAAAATTTTTAGTTAAACTATTTATCTATTGTATACGAACCAGTGCTAGCATCTATCGATATGAATTCAATAATATTAAAATCAATTTAGACATTATTTTTTTAAGTATAAATAAACTTAATAACTTGTTTATTATTAATTTATCATTTAATTTTGCTGCTTTAATAATAATAATAATTAAAATATTATAAAAAATAAAATAGTTGAATCTTATATAAATAAAATAAATAGTAAAGTGTTTACAAAATTTTTAAATAAGATTATTATTATTAAAATAAATTAGCATGATGATAAATTAAAAAACTAAAATTTTTTTTAGTCCGATAATAGTCCCGGTCTATAGTGTATAAGATTTTCTGTATTTGGTCCAGTACAATTTAGTATTGAACCGCCAAATTTTTGTCTATAAAAATATATATAGTTTTCAATTGTAAACATATTAATTAGACCCGGCTCTTGGCTACACTGTTGCCAATAGTCTAGATTATCATATTTGCGAACCAGTAGTACCCAGGCATCCATATATTGCTCACTACCTTCAGATACATGTCCAAAATAGGCCAATATTTTCACTGTCTTATCTATATAACACCAAAAAAAAATCAATGTATAATAATTATATTACAGTATATATATTCATAAAAATATAATAATTTATTAGTTAACAAATTATAATCAATTCTATATATATATATATATTATTAATGATGTTATTATATAGTATAGTATAGTATATAATGATATATTAGTTATCAAATATTTTATTGTTGTTGAGACATATTTTATGACTAGTAATAAAATTATATAAAGTTTTGTGTAATTTTAATATCAAATAATTTTTTTTTAAAAAAAAATAGTTTTAAAAAATATAAAATTGATTTTTGTTTTGCTGACTAGTGCTTTAATATTGTGTGTATTATAATTAATATTTTAATTTTAAATTGATTTACTCTAAATAAATTACCTCTAAATTACAATATATATAATTTATACTATATATATTAGTTTTAAACAATATAAATATTAATATTACCCTACACAAATTTTATTAATATCTGTTTTTTGATATTACTTATATAAAGCTAGATTATAGTAAAATTTAAATTATTTGTTTAAAAAATTAATAAATATTAATTACATACCATTAGTTGTATAATCATTGTATTGATTAAAAGTGATGACAATTTTTGATTGTATGCCTGTGTTGTCGGTTAGGTTATAATCACGTAGTGTTGGTACCGATGGATTCAATTGTTGACAACTGGACTGACGGGTGGCCGACTCGGTCCGGGAGATACGGTAAACGTTAGGATTGTTACAATTGGTGTACAATTCATGATAGTCTAGTGTAGTCTCTATATATTATATATACAAATATTAACACTATATATAGGACTAACATATCTATATATATATATATATATAATATAAAAAATTATTAATTTGTATTTTAGTTGTTATTTACAAATATTATAAAAAATTTACAGTATACTGTATATACTGTATATATATGGGGAAAACATATATATATAATATAAAAAATTAAAAATTATTATTTTTTGTTTCGTTTTGTTAATTGTCTACACATTTAATAATATAATTTTTTTTTAAATAATATTACAAATATATTTTATTCATAAATTTTGTATTTAAGTAATACCTTAATTAATTATTTAATTAAGTAATAAATTCTATATATATATATATATTTGTAATTTATTAATAGTATTGATTTTTTATGATAAAAAAGATTATTTATCTATATTTATCTATATTTATATATAATATTTATAAATTATTTTATTTAATTAAATAAAAATGGTTAGTATTTGTTATAAAATCATAGTTTTACTGAACAATACCTCGTAAACCATTGATTAAATTATATAGTTGATAGCCTAGACAACAACAAAATCATTAACAAGTTATAAATATATATTTTAGTAATATTAGTCATATAATAAATTACAGTAAATTAATAATTATAAAATTAAAAGTTTTACTTACATATTATAACTATTAAAACTAGACGTTTCATTTTCATTTAGTTAGTTGTAATTATTTTGTGTAATTACGTGTAATTTAGTTTAACTGTTATAATAAAATTAATTACTAATATTTTTAAAAAGATTTTTTTGATATTTATGTGATTTTTATAAAATTTGTAATTATGAACAATCATTCATTTAGTTGTTTATTAAAAATTTTTAGTAACTATAATACAGTACTTGCTTAATGATAATATAAAATGATTATCATTATTATTATTAGTATAAATTTTATTAAATAATAATTAAATATATAACTTATTTAAATAATATTTTTAATAAAAAAAATTAACTAATATTAAAAATTTTTAACTAAATTTATAATTACATAGTTATTTAATTAAATACAAAATTTACAATTAAAAATATTTTTAAAATTATAGTAAAAAATAAAATAAATTATAGTATTTTTTAAATAAAACAAATTATGCTTTATAATGTAGTTTTGTAATTTTAACAAATTTAAAGTAATTAATTATATAAGTAATACTGTATTGTTTAATATATGTAATTAATAATTAAAACATTTATAAATTAATTTTATTTTATAAATGATTAAATATAATATTATACAATTGAATCAAATAATTTTTAAACTTAAAACCAATATTTTAATTTTACTATAAAACTAATGAAAACAGTTTTATTGTAAGTTTTGTTGTTTGAAAAACAAACTGTTAAAATAACCACAAAAAAATATTTAATTAATAAATAAAATCGTAATATTTTTTAATTAATTTTTAATTATTATTACTTTACCATATTATAAGTAAATTGATTGATCAAAAATAAATGCCAACAATAGAAACCTAATTTACCATCAGATGACCATTGAATCAACAATTTTAACTAAAAAATAAAAATAAATACAAAAAAAATTATACAGTTTTATTATAATTATAGAGTATTGTATTTTTTATAAAAAAAATAAATAATTTTCTATACCTTGAACAATGTTGACAATTTATTATTAGTTTGTAAAACATTATAAATACTATATTTGCGATTTACAAACCAATAGTAAAAATTATTGCTATTATTATAATTATTGCCAATATTTTTATCATTATTAATACGATCAATCATAATGTATAATCTATGCAATTGTTTATTTGTTTTACGATACTGTGTATTAACATTGCTTGCAAACAATATGATTGATGTTATAAATAAAAATACTAATAATAAAAATAAGATAAAAAATATAATCAAAAATTTTGATAGACTATTGAATACTAGGCTAATCAAAACATTTGATATTAGTATAGTAAATGTTATCCAATAGATAAATATATAGAGTGACCAATTTTGATTCAAATAGTCTAATTGTTTGGTAAACATGATAATGTTGCTTGATAATAATTTTATATCTAATTTTTTCGATATAATCATTGATGTAATTTTCATATTAATTGATTTGATTTTGATAGTCATTATCTGAAATTGTATTATAATAAATACAATATGTGAACATAATGTTTGGCCAACTATAAAATAGACAATACCATAGTATAGTGTCCATACTAGTCCATAGGTTAATAAATCATCTAGCTGAAAAAACAATGACCAAGTAGATAAGCCTGGTATAATTGATAGGAATATACATAATAAATTATAGATAGTAATCAGTAATTGATAGTATTTTTCAATTTTTCTATCTAATTGTATTGTGGAAATTTCAGGTAGTTGATTTTTGTTGTCACCATTATCTATCTGGATACATTTGACTATGAAAATTGTTAAAATAACTACAATTTTAATTATTGAATATTGTCTGCGTATTGGCCAATAGTATGTAAATTCACCAAATAATTTAGCTAGAAATTCATTATCCAGGTCAATCAATATAATTGTTTTCAATAATTCAATAAACATTATTAGATTATATAGTTGACATAATTTTTGATTACGACAGTAACCAGGATGATATTTAGATAAACCATATTTATAACATTTTTTGAAAATAGATATAATATATTATTATATACGATTAGTTTGGATTTATTGGTAATATTTTTATTAAAAAACATAGTTATCAAATAATTTAAAGATACAGATATATTATGTTAAAAAATAATTATTTATCTATTTTACTGATACTTATTATTGTAAACTATAAACTAATATTTAGCTGAAAATAATAAATTATTCAAAAGTTATTGTTTGACATACAAAAAATTATTGCTTAACTTATTTATAAAATAATTATTTGACATAATTATAAATAAAAATTGTTTATAATAATTAATGATATAAATTATTATAATTTATCATAATATTTAAAATATTTTCATACAAACACATATAATTTTAAATATATTAAATATATCGTTTAGAAAATAATAATAATATTAATAGTTTTAATTTAATTATTATAATAAACTTATAATAACTATAATTATTACAAAACTTTATCATAAAAATTTTAATTTATTTATAATACTAATGAAAATAGTTTTATAGTTAGTTTTGTTGTCTGAAAAACAAACTGTAAGATAGATAGGCGGAAAAAATAATAAATTAAAAATTAAATAATATGTACTGTATATTAAAATTATCATTATTACCATATTATATGTAAACTGATTGATCAAAAATAAATGCCAACAATAGAAACCCAATTTACCATCAGATGACCATTGAATCAATGATTTTAACTAAAATATATTCAATATATATAAACAAAATAAAACATTAGATAAATTTAATATAAAAATATAATACAGTATTATTATTATTATTTAAATTACCTTGAACAATGTTGACAATTTATTATTAATTTGCAAAACATTATAAATGCTATATTTGTGATTTACAAACCAATAATAAAAATTATTTCTACTATTATTATAATTATTGCCAATATTTTTATTATCATTATTAATACGATTAATCTGAATGTATAATCTATGCAATTGTTTATTTGTTTTACGATACTGTGTATTAACATTGCTTGCAAACAATATAATTGATGTTATAAACGAAAATACTAATAATATAAATAATATAAAAAATACAATCAAAAATTTTGATAGACTATTGAATACTAGGCTAATCAAAACATTTGATAATAGTATAGTAAATGTTATCCAATAGATAAATATATAGAGTGACCAATTTTGATTCAAATAGTCTAATTGTTTGGTAAACATGATAATGTTGCTTGATAATAATTTAATATCTAATTTTTTCGATACAATCATTGATTTAATTTTCATATTAATTGATTTGATTTTGATAGCCATTATCTGGGATTGTATAATAATAAATGCTATATGTGAACCATATGTTTGACAAACTATAAAATAGATAATACCATAGTATAATGTCCATACTAGTCCATAGGTTAATAAATCATCTAGCTGAAAAAACAATGACCAAGTAGATAAGCCTGGTATAATTGATAGGAATATACATAATAAATTATAGATAGTAATCAGTAATTGATAGTATTTTTCAATTTTTCTATCTAATTGTATTGTGGAAATTTCAGGTAGTTGATTTTTGTTGTCACCATTATCTATCTGGATACATTTGATTATGAAAATTGTTAAAATAACTACAATTTTAATTATTGAATATTGTCTGCGTATTGGCCAATAGTATGTAAATTCACCAAATAATTTAGCTAGAAATTCATTATCCAGGTCAATCAATATAATTGTTTTCAATAATTCAATAAACATTATTAGATTATATAGTTGACATAATTTTTGATTACGACAGTAACCAGGATGATATTTAGGTAAACCATATTTATAACATTTTTTGCCCAATAGATATAATATATTATTATATACGATTAGTTTGGATTTATTGGTAATATTTTTATTAAAAAACATAGTTATCAAATAATTTAAAGATACAGATATATTATGTTAAAAAATAATTATTTATCTATTTTACTGATACTTATTATTGTAAACTATAAACTAATATTTAGCTGAAAATAATAAATTATTCAACAGTTATGACATACAAAAAATTATTGCTTATCTTATTTATAAATAATTATTTGACATAATTATAACAAAAAATTGTTTATAATAATTAATGATATAAATTATTATAATTTATCATAATATTTAAAATATTTTCATACAAACACATATAATTTTAAATATATCGTTTTGAAAATAATAATAATAATAGTTTTAATTTAATCTTTATAATAAACTTATAATAACTATAATTATTACAAAACTTTATTTATAATACTAATGAAAATAGTTTTATAGTTAATTTTGTTGTCTGAAAAACAAACTGTAAGATAGATAGGGGAAAAAATAATTAATTAATTAAATGTAATTAATATGTATTGTATATTAAAATTATTATTATTACCATATTATATGTAAATTGATTGATCAAAAATAAATGCCAACAATAGAAACCCAATTTACCATCAGATGACCATTGAATCAATGATTTTAACTAAAAAATATATTCAATATATATAAACAAAATAAAACATTAGATAAATTTAATATAAAAATATAATACAGTATTATTATTATTATCTAATTTACCTTGAACAATGTTGACAATTTATTATTAATTTGCAAAACATTATAAATGCTATATTTGTGATTAACAAACCAATAGTAAAAATTATTTCTACTATTATTATTGACAATATTTTTATTATCATTATTAATACGATTAGTCTGAATGTATAATCTATGTAAATGTTTATTTGTTTTACGATAGTGTGTTTTAACATTGCTTGCAAACAATATGATTGATGTTATAAACGAAAATACTAATAATATAAATAATATAAAAAATACAATCAAAAATTTTGATAGACTATTGAATACTAGGCTAATCAAAACATTTGATAATAGTATAGTAAATGTTATCCAATAGATAAATATATAGAGTGACCAATTTTGATTCAAATAGTCTAATTGTTTGGTAAACATGATAATGTTGCTTGATAATAATTTAATATCTAATTTTTTCGATACAATCATTGATTTAATTTTCATATTAATTGATTTGATTTTGATAGCCATTATCTGGGATTGTATAATAATAAATGCTATATGTG